GGTTTTGCAATGAGTCTGATTCATTCTACAACTACCTAAAATTGAGCTTAGGGGTTAGGGGGATTGAGGGAGTAATGAAATTAAGTTAGCCAACGAGTTTGTTTCAATTTACAACTGCCCAAAACTAAACTTCAAGAATATGGTTAATTGTCCAAATTTGAGTTAAGAGGATATGGTGCTTCTTTGAGTTAACTTTGTTTCACTGTTGATGCTACAAGCATGTAACTTCTTTTGAAAAAGAATTTTTCTTAATAAACTTTCCATTTCTAATTTATTTATAATTTATTTTTTTTAGTGAATCCAAGAATAGTTCTAAGAAGAAAAAGTTATATTCAAACAATGGTTATACAAAAACTACAATTGGATCAAATAGGATACAAATCTTAAACCACATCAAAAGCTAACAAGATAGGGCTGCATTGAAATTATTTTATGTTCCTTGTTTGATTTAATGAAACTATGGAAAAGTAAAAATTAGACGTTTTGGTATTAAAAAAGTCAAAATATCTAATATCAACTACATGATAACAAGGTTTAAGTGAGATCTAAATTATGTATCACCTATTTTGTTGTTATGATTGGACATCTGATATTTTTCATACCATAACGTCCTTTTTGTTTTACAATCTCATGAAACTAATTGACAAAAGATAAAAGGGAATTGCAAAAATTCATGAATCATGACAATTAAAATGTTAGGAATAATAATAAAAAAATTCAAATACATTTAATGAATAAACACATAATAAAAATTCATTAAAAGTATTTGAACAATTTCACAAACAATTCTCACATTTTAAATACCAAGACGTTTTATTTTCATTTTTCTTAAATTATAACAAGGATTTTTCTAATTTGTACCCTTAGAACACTTTTTTGATATTAATTGTTATTGAAAAAAATAAAAGTTAACATTTATTTAATCAAATGTCTAATTCACATGACATTGGATGAAATTAATGATAATTTTTGTTATTTTCAATATTAATTAATGACAAAAAGGTGCATTAATTACACAAGGCATCTGTTAAAAAAAAACCCTAATAACAATTGTAAAATTTTAACAAGGTATGAGAACAAGGATTCAACTGCTTAGTTTTAAAAGGTTAAGATTGGCTTTACTAGTATACTAAAAGTTGAGGTCTAAAGAAGTGCTAAATTTCACTGTTTGGTTACAGATAAAACGATTTTCTTTCTTTCTTTCTTTCTTTCTTTCCCGCCCTTCTGTATCTCTCTGCTTTGATCCCACAAAGCTCCCACCTTTTTCCTCTGATTTCCCAGGAACATCCATGGCTTCCATTCTTTTCTTCTTCCTCTTCATCTTTACCTTCCCATGTCACTCTATTGCATGTTCCAGAACCCTCTCGAATGCCGCAGAAATCCTCTCCGACTCCGGCTACCTCTCCATGGCACTAACTCTTCAACTCACCTCTGTTACTCTCAATCTTGATTCCTCCAACGCCACCATCTTCGCCCCTCTGGACTCCGCCTTTGCTCGCTCCGGCCAGCTTTCTCTTCTTGAACTCCAATATCACATCTCCCCAGCAAGACTCTCCAAAGAATGCTTCAGGACTCTTCCGTACGGCGCCAGAATCCCCACGCTCTGGTCGAATCACTCGCTGATCGTCACTAAAGATAAGGGTTTTGATTCCCCCTTTTCGATTAATAACGTTTCGGTTCAAAATTTGGTGATTTTTGATGATGGATCTATGATTGTGTATGGGGTGGATGAATTTTTGGACCTAAAATTTGAGATTGCAAACCCTAACGCTCCGAATTCGGCACCGACCCCAAGCTCTACATTGAGAAACGAATCATCTCAGCATGAGAGAGAAGAGGATAATCCTTTCATTCAGGCTTCGGATTCGTTGATGTCTCTGGGTTTTACAAAAATGGCAACGTTTCTTGATATTCAACAGGTGGGGTTTTGTAATCGGACAAGATTGACAATCTTTGCGCCGGTTGATGAAGTAATAGAAGCAAATGTGAAAAATTTTAGGGATTATTCGTCGATATTCAGATCCCATGTGGTTCCGGGGTTGCTTCTATCGGAGGACTTAGAAAAGCTCGATGATGGAGCAAGCTTGCCAACTTTTTCAAAAGGGTTTGTGATTACTGTGACCAAATCTGGTGATATTCTTTTGATTAATGATGTTCCAGTGATCTATCCTGATATATACAAGGGTGATTGGGTCATTGTGCATGGCCTAAATCGGTTAGTGATTTTATCGGAAAAGCAAGGATTAGAGGAAGAATCTTTATCAGAACTTGATGGTTATGGGGAGCAAAGTCTACTTGTCTCTGATGGATATGGGATACCATGAAACACCTCTGGTGTTCAACTCAATTGGTATCTGCGGATTCAACAATTAATGGATGGAGAGTTTTACAAAATGCATCTGTTGTTCATGCATTTGCTTACGGTTCATCCTTAATTTTGATCTTTGTTCTTCATTTTTGCTTCTTTGGGTCATATTTGTAGCTCATGGTTACTTGTACTGACGAAACAGAACAGAAAGTGGATTGATTTTAAATTTTGTGCTTTTGGAAAGAGAAATTGTATTTCTTTTGTGAATATAAGAGGGAATTCTTTGCTGAATATAGTCAACTATGATAAAATGATGTGCCTTTTCCAAATCTTGATTGTCAATCATCTATTGCTGTGCAAAAAAGCAAGCTTTCTTGGTTCATACTTTGTTGAGATAAGCAGCACTGATATAGAAAGCTCTTATGCTAGCTGATATGAGCAGACAGACATACAATAACTTGAAGATAACTGAATATTCGAAGACAGTATACAAGTTCTTGGAGGAACAAAAAAAATGTTAGCTGTTACCTTCCTACCTAATGCATTCAATACTTGATTTTAGAAGTGGAGGGCTGAGTTCCATAGCTGGTACTACATTCCTCACCTTTTTTGTTCCCAGAGAAACTGGCCCTTGCCAATTCCCTCAGTTTCTTTAACTCACTCTTTGACTCTAGTTTAGGTCCTTTTGCCCTTGTGCTTTCCCCTGCTCTCTGTCCTGTAACAGTTGTCTCTACCATTGTGAAACCTCTAGGTTGACTAACAGGTGAACCAGGACTGAGCATGGGGACTACTGTTGCAGTCATGGCACTGAATTGCTCAGCACGATGTTCTCTTGGAGCCCGCCTGATAAGCTGAGTCTCTGGGCTTAGAGGAAGGACAGGAGCTAGACCTGTTTTTGGTTGGGAGGAACTCGGTATTAACCTTGGCCAATGCTTTCTTGGAAGAAAAGGCAACAGAAAACCCTTTGCCACAAACTTCAGCCCAAGCTTGAAAGAATTCTTATGTGGCTGAGAGAGTTTTAGAAGGCATTTCATCAGAGCATACCACTCATTTACAATTTGTGCAACAAAGGTAAGAAAGAGGAGAGACAACATTATGAATCCCAAATGCTTTGCTTTAATTGGACTTGAGCTGTTCATACTGATGGATAGACCAAATATACCTACCTCACATAATAGAGAAATGCCTTCAACCAGGTGGACTGCCCTTCTGATGTGTGGCTTAAGAGTGAGTAAACATATGAACTGTGTCAAAGTGATTGTCAATGCACAAATGCTTTGGCTCAATCTATGCGATGAGTAAGAACCTGCTATTATTCCCAAACAGACTCTTCTTACAAGATCAAGGATAATATAAGAAGATCTAGCACAACCCAAAAGTCGCATAGACAAGGGGGCTTTAGCTACTTCATTGCTGTCATCTGAGCTGACTGCTCTCATTCTTCCAATTCCACTTTGGCCACTTCCAGTCCACCTTGGATAAGTGTTTGAGTCATTTTGATCAACAAAGATAAATATTGGAGGACCCTTCTGATCCTCAAATAGAATTCCAAAGCGTGCTAGGAAAGATGATGGTAGTCCTTCAATATAGAACCACTTGCCATTAGCAGGCCTTCCCATGAACAAAAACCAGATTGTTTGGTACCATGACACCTCTGCAGTGACATATCTGATCTCTTTGTACTGAGCAAGATTTCCAGTGAAGACTACAATTGTGAGAAAAAGGCACACTGATAAAATAAACGCCGCAGGGATAGCAAGCAACAAAGCTCCTGTTATGATTCCCTTAGTTGTACCACCTGCATATTGTATATTACTGGTTCATGGGATCCTCAAGAATTCAATTGAAATTCAAACAAGAAGTGTTGCTGTTCTTTCTTACCTTTTATTACAAATGCTGAAGACTGAGAGATGCAGGGTAGCATGAGAATTAGAAGAAGAATCTCAAACCTTGGAACCGAAAGAATTCCGTGAGCTGGTGTCCCTGTCCTCCATCTTAGAAAGAATAATATTGCTACATGCACTATTAACAAACTGCCCCCTCCAATCCCAAGCCAGAACAAATTCATTTCCATGTCCTGCCACCTGTTAAAACAACTAGCTGAGCAATATTCTAATTGCTAAAAAAAGGGCACACTAACTTGTTTTGAATATCATATCTTCTTCCATCATGGTTAGATATTGAAAGTTTAAATCTCCTGAAAAAAGGAATTATTTTTAAAGAACATGTCATTCTAAAATACAAGTGCAGTTTCTTTATCTACCCCTTGTAATTTTCCATTTTCTTGACAACATTTCTAGCAGATAACGGCTCTCCTCGCTGCAAAAGAATGGAGACATATTGTAAGATCCTCATTTAATACTCAATACTAAACAACAAAAATGATATACTGACCAAGAAATATGTGAAGTATTCATTTGGATTAAGAGGTAACCCATAAGGAGTGTTTTCCTTGCTTAAGTTGTGCACTCTTTGGATCCCACCAAACTTGGGGTCAGTTATAGTCGGTAATTCTAGTTCATGCTGCAAATGGGAATAGTTGATCAAGTCAATGTCAAGGGAACCTTTCTCATTGGAAGCGCATTCACTAAACCAGCTGCTGGATCTCCTTATAAATCCCCCTTTTGTCAAGTATACATGGTTAGGCCAAACTGAACTGGTATTTTTTTTCCAAGGAACTTTTTGACGGGGTATGAGCCACCTAAGTCCCCTTGTTGTCTCAGAATATTCAATGGGGGCCTCAGCCAATATCCAATCTGAGAGGACAAACACTTGAAGGTGTCCAACCATTCCCTGTCACGAGATTTTTTTTTTATTGCATATGTTTAATTGAATGTAGTACAGTAGCTTACAGGATATAAGATGTTTAAGCACAAAGTTTGGAACCAGCCAGGCTGGCTATCAAAAATGCTTACTTGCAGATTAATTGATGGATTGGAAGCAACATAGTTCTCATATGCAGGCTTAGGAGTGCTGATTGCTCCAAGATTTGCAGAGGAAAGTGAGACAACTGTGGTTGCCAATGATGTTGCTAATATCCCAGCAGTCACAAATGAATGAAGTGCCATTGATATTGCAGGTGTCGTATCTGTGCATGTAAAAGAACCACACAACTAGATAAATGGAGGTCAAACAATATAAGAAAGTGCCATAAATAAAAATACCTTCCATTAGTAACTTGTTAATTACCCCTTTCTGAAATATATTGAGACCTAGTTAATAAAGCACTGACTCTGATAAATATCTAAAAGGGAAAATGAAAATGGCAAGAAGTTTTAAACTTACAGCGCATCACTTCAAGTCTATTAGATGCCATATTCATATTTCCAGAAATATCATTGGTTTTTCCTTCAGGAATACTAACCGACACCACATTATGAGTTACTGCCTCAATGGTCAATGAGTATAGAGCTCTTGAAAGTTCCTGAAAACTACATGAAAAAAAGAGGGTTGCAACATTGCTTTAGCATTTCTGAAGGACATTTCAATAATGCTTCTATGTTCATGTAGTTATGTACTATGACATGCGTATGTTTGATGTTGGATTATTTGCTGGTTCGGATTTGCACCTGCCTTGTAAGTATCCCTCCATCCACTTCGACCATAGAGGCTTGAAATCCGAAAACTGGCTTTGTGAACTCAATTATCACGTTGATGTCGTGTTCATTTGTTACACTAAGTGAGCTTGTACTTATTCCCACACTGGGCTTAGAAGAATCTAAGAGAAAGTAAATCAATTAGCTGAACAATGAATCTATGGGAAATGAACTCCGAAAACTCTATATGGAGCACATGCTGTTGAAAAACATACCATAGAGAAATGTAAGTGAGGTGACAGGCGAGACGGGGGTGCCTGTTCTGCCAATCAGTAAAGCTGCTCGCAGTTCAATTGTGATGATTTCAGTTTCCAATATATTCTTGAGCTACAAAATTATGGCTATTGTCATTAGGATGTATAATATCCCTGGTATCAGAGATATGTCAAATAAAACTCTAGTTGAAGAGGACTTTTTCAGCTGCTTACAATAAAAGAAAACCGGCGATTTGCATGTGTTCTGTCAGGAAGAGGTACTAAGTGACCAGAATTGACATGTAGTGCATTTAGGATCTCTCCTGTTGAATTCATGACTGGAATGCTGAAGTCCAAGAACATTTCCAAGTCCTCCACTCTATTAGTTGCAAATACAGTCCTGAGGACCCCATTGATTTCCAGCTCATAGGATGGAACAGATGCCCATAGATCAACAAACACTGGTCTTCTATCTAAGACAATTAATTGGAATATCAATACTACAATGTTGAGTATCAGAAGAGAATCAGTAGACTTAATAGCAAAACATAATATTTGTCTCACCAAAGTGAATGACAATAATGGAAGCATTTGTTCTGCTGAAATAATTTCCTGCTTGATCCATGCAAAAGTTAGGTGCCATTCTAATCACCACTCGTCCATATGTACTTCTCGAGGAGATGACTACTTTCATGCTATACTCCACATTAGGTTTAACAATTCTTAATGAGGATGGTTGAACATAAGCGGGACCACTTACAGTAACCTGCAAAAGGAATTGTGTCTTGGATTCTCAATATAGGCATTTTAAAGTGATATAACTTTTACCTCGAAGGAAGAATGTAACTTCACTTCTCTTCTTTGCCACCACATGTATTACTTTGGAACTTACATCACAGTTTGATGAATTTAAACACTTGAAACCACCCAGTCCAGGGCAAGCTTCACTGAGCTTGATGTTGATTGCTATGCTTTCCTGGTTCGTATAATTCTGTTCACTTGAAATCTTAGCAGTTGGTGGAATTGTATCTGATATACAAATGAGGCCAAAAAATAGGGTAAGATTCCTACAAATAACAGTTAAAACTATATGTACTTGAACCTGGGATACTAATTTTGCAAGACCACAATGTTATCACCGTCAGACTACCAAGTTTAAAGAGGATTGATTTACTTACCAATAAACCATGAATAAGCTGACGAGTTTTTCTCTCCATTACCGGTTGTGACATTAAGAAGAAAACTGTGTTTGCAATCTGTGCTCAAATTTTTCAGCACTACCATATCAATGGGACATGGTTTCAGAGCTTGGCCATCCAGCTGCTCAAAAACAAAGTCAAATTCCTTGACATTTTATCATAAATGTATAATATTCAACTCTCCAAGAACAATGCACATAATCAAAAGAACTTCAGGAGCAAAGCA